AACCTGGCCAACATCCACGACGTGTTTCACGTGTCTCAGCTTTGGAGGTACATAGCAGATCCGTCGCATGTGGTGCAACCGGATGATGTGGAGGTTCGGGAGAACCTAAAGACTCCCGTCGGACCACTAAAGATTCTCGATCGTGGCGAGAAGCAGCTGAGGAGCAAGATCATTCTGATGGTCAAGGTGCAGTGGACCGGAAGGACTCCTGAGGAGTGTACTTGGGAGCGTGAGGACGAGCTTCTCCGGCAGTACCCCGAGTTTCGACCAGGTATGTTTCTGATTTTGAGGTCAAAATCCTAAAAAGGTGGGGTGAATGTAAGAACTCGCACCGTTAATTAAGAAATATAATTAATAAATTATGAGAAAATAGGAAATGATTCCATAATTGACCCTAATAATTATTATGAGGCTTTAATAATTATAGTAAGTGAGTAATAATGCTGAAAGTTTCTTTTCGAAAGAAAAGTGCAGATACCGGTTCTGCTAGTCAGTATAAATGAGTACCGAAAAAGTATCCCGAAAAATTAAAGTAAGGGCATATTAATTACTAGAATAATATGTAGGACTTTTAAAACGAGTTTCAAGTCCAGATAATGAGAACTGGTGCTAGAAACCGGTACTGGCTTGGAAAAGCGCGTACCGCAAAGGTGCTCAGAAAATTATAAGAAAAATATGATAAATCTTAGAAAATTGTGTGCTTTCAGATTTCAAAGTTTGGGATTAAAATGCTAAGCGTAGCAATTAAAGTTAATACTGTGTGTTTAATTGTTAAACCATTATATAAGCCTTAGTGGGCACTAAACCCTAGGCCATATTACATTCTCTACGTGAGTTTGGAGCTGGTGGCTACTGCCTTGGCCTTCTCCACCTTTGTGTAACCTCCCTTGTAGCCTTTCTTCTCCTTTTCTTCACTAAAACACCTTGGGTGAGTGGGAATCATCTTTGTGAGTGAAAAGTGAGCACCTTTTCTGAGTTGTGGTGGCTGTGGGAGCTGAGTTGTTTTCTGGTTTGGTGGCATTCTTGTTGAGAAGTGTTGTTCTTGGCTTGTGAGGCTTCAAGGAGCTTCCTTTGTGAAGAAAGATCCTTGCTTGGGTGGTAATTTCGTGCACCCTTGAAGTCAGCACCTTGGGAGCTGATTGTGAGCTCCAAGAGCACCTCCAACCTCTGTTTTGAGCTTTGATGAGTTGTACCTACCTTTAGCTTGTGTTCTTATGGATTAAAGGTGTGATCTTTGCATGTTTAAAGGGTTAATCAAGTAACCAACTGGGGTGAGGACCTTAATCAGTATAAAGATGCATGCTTTAACGTAATTAAGTGTTAAAAATAAAACCTTGGAAGGATATCTTCACGAAATGCATTTTCTGCATTCTGTCGTGAAATATCCGGATATGTGCCCGAGAAATATCCGGATATGTGATATCCGGATATGGGTTTTGAGTATCCGGATATCAGATATCCGGATATGGGATTCTGGATATCCGGATATTGCCTATCCGGATATGTCCAGTGAGATATCCGGATATGGTCCCGAGGAATATCCGGATATTCTGGGATTTTGTAGAACAATAGCTGTGCTGTGAGGACAGTAGGCTATTGGGGGTTTGTGGACCCTAGATTGATGAAGTTGAACTACTATTTTAATTAAACTAAGTCAGAATCAAGTGATTAAGGACTTATGGCTTGATATGGAGCCTTAAGACGTAAAACGTAAGGAAAGGCGTTGTCTTTAATTTGTATGCATGTGGTACATGTTATTGATTTATATTTGGTCTATAACAGATTGTGAATCTGCTGTGTTTGGACTTTGAGCTGTGGACTCTTGGCTTTTGGAGTTAGCTTGCAAGGTAAGCTTTCGTGTCCTCGGTTTAGCCATGTTGTGGTTCCACCATGTCCCATGGGGGTATGGTTTATGCATGTTGTGTACATGCTTTTAGATATTTGATATGTTGATTTAACTTTACATGTAATGGCTTTTAATATGCATGTGTTGTTTCATCTTGACGGGAAGCCTGAGTATGTAGCGCCATACAAGACGGTGTACCGGGGTGAATGCAAGTGGTACTTGCACGGTGTGTAGGTGATAGACGTATACCTGCACTGTCTCTGGCCAGTAGATTAGTATTGACACACATGGCATGATTATCTGCTGCATTGCATTGTTTTAGAAATGATAAACTGCTTTTGAACTTATATTGCACATGTAAGTGAGCTTGGGGTGGAAGATCCTTGAGGACTCACTGACTTACTGAGATTTCTAGATTAGAGATCTTACCCCACGTTTGGGGAATGCTTATTTCAGGATCAGGTAGTATGGGTACTGATGCCTCAGGCGGCAGGAGGCCGGAGCTTAGCTGATTTTGTTGTTTCTGCTTATTTGTTAGCATGACTGGATATTGATGCTGATTATGTTTTATGCTTTTTATCATTATGTTGTTGTTGAGACTAATGTTGGGTATGTTGTCTTATTTAAGTGAGCATGGGGATTGTCCATGACACTCTCTGTTAGTACTTTTTAGATTGGAGTTGTATAAACTGTTAGATGGTCCGATCTACATTGTTGTAGTTCCGTGACTAGAGCCACACTTTTATTATCTATGTTATGAGGTATTTCAGTTAGCTGTTTTATTGCAATTACATACAGGCGATGTTTTATTAATTGATTATTAAGCAAGTTGGTAATGTTAATGGCATCATAATTGAAAAGAAAAAGTAATCTCGCATTTTTAATTAAGCGCAGCTTAATACGATATTATGATAACATTACCGGATATATATGGGGTGTTACAACTTGCGCTAGAGATCAGGATTCCACTGAAGTTGAAGGCTGAAGACATTGAGTTTTTATTCTTCTTCTTCTTTTCTTCTTTATAGTTCATGAACAATTTTTCTTTTAATTTGTTTAAGTCAGACATGAACATGTCTGGCTAATTTCTTTATGTAGTTTGAATCATGGACCCGATGTGAATCCTTTTATATTTTTTGTATTGACATTTTATAATTTAATTAGTTAGTTTGTTTTATTCTACCTGTGTTACTTTTTTCATATCCTGTTTAGAATTGGCCGCTCTAAATTATAGGGTTTTGAGGGTTAGAATTCACAATAGACATATTGGGGTTTTAATCTGGACAAGGGTAGAATAACAATTTGTGTATGATCTAGACATAGGCTTACATAAATTGCAGACTCATAATTCATTTGCTTAATGCTTAATTGAAGAAGGATCACTAAGACATTAGGATTCTAATTGGGTTAAAGGATTGAAATCACTAAGACATTAGGGTTCAACTAATTTGTAGGGAAATAATGAATTATCTGAGCAAACCAATTAATTATTTATAGAGTAAATATCTTTTTTGGTCCTCAGCAAATTTCAAGATGCCCACTTTAGTCCCTAGCAAATAAAAAGACTCATCGTGATCCCTAAGAAATTTAAAATGGACACATTTTAGTCCTTTTGAGGACTAAAATGAGTGTTTTTTGAATTTGTGAGGGACCACGATTTCAACTAAATGGGTCCATTTTAAATTTTTAGGGACCATGATGGGCCTTCTTTTTTGCTAGGGACTAAAGCGGGCATCGTGAAATTTGTTGAGGACCAAAAAGGGTATTTATTCTTATTTATAAAAGAGTAAATACCCGTTTTGGTCCCTAACAAAAAACACGATCCCCACTTTAGTCCCTTACAAAAATAAATTAGTCAGTTGGTCCCTAACAAATTCAAAGTTGACCCATTTAGTTGAAATTGTGGTCCCTCACAAATTCAAAAAAGACCCATATTAGTCTCTCAAAAGGACTAAAATGGGTCCACTTTGAATTTGTTAGGGACTAACTTACTAATTTATTTTTGTAAAGGACTAGAGTGGAGACTGTGTTTTTTGTTAGGGACCCAAAATGGTATTATAAGGGAGGATCGGAGGTAAAGTGTATCTTGGCAACAATTTCCTTACGAATTTTTCATCAATAGTTTTTTTTCAACGTTCTTGATCTTAGGGTTCCCCCCTCTTCCCAAGGCACAAGGCTGCCCCTGCACACAGGCAGGGGTTCAGCATGCCTAGCCTGAAAAGGCTAGGCTGGCTAGGTTGACTAGAGATCTGACTCTAAATACCCCTCTCTCACATTGAGGAAGGGACTTCTTCTCTTCCACTCAGCTTCAACTGCTGTGACTATGGAGAGACATTCTATCCACTCTCACACCCACCCTTGATGCACATCATGGGAAGCTCCATTAGTACCTTGGTCTCTACCATTGTCACTATGGACACCCTCTATATCAACATACTTCACCCTCCAAGGGACAAATTTATGTACACCACCGGTACAAATCTTAACCAGTGTGACCATTGTCTCGATCGGTTTTGCTCCTGTCGAACACTCGAGATAGGTTTTCAGGCAGCTACAATTTCTCTTGCACGAAAGATTTGGAAATTTTATTTTACCTTTTGACGTGCTTTCTTTTTCCCTTACCCCCTACCCTCACTGGTCACGATTTCATGGGAGTGGCTTTTATAAGCTTTCTCTCTTTCAACTTTAGCTCTTGTTTAGGATTTAACCACGTCTATCGAAGGGTAATGCAAACTCCTTTTGGGTGTTTCAAATATATATCTTTAGCCAATTTGTGCATAAATTATTGTGAAATTTGAGACCTGTCATTCTACATCATGTATGAATTGAAGTACGGAATTTTTCCAATGTACCCAGTAATATGAACTTCCATTTGCTGAGGACAACACCAAATTCGGAATCAGCCGTCGTCAAAACATGAATCGAAAATTTGAAGAATGATGTCCAATAGATTTCAGCAGGACGAGAGCAGTATGAAACAATGGTGATTCCCAAGTTTCCGCGATAATCATATCAATGATATTTTGACGATAATCTGATCAACGATAAAATATCGGTTCGATATGAAAACATAAGCAAAGAAATATAAGGCATCTTAATCTATCCAACTACACGCAGTCCAATGTTTCCCATGCAATGTGCAACAAATTAAGTAGAAGTCTGCAAAAGCATTGTGTACACAAGATTCATGGTGGCATACAATCAAGCATCACTCAAAAAAAAAAAAATGACAAAGGCACAAGCTCGAGTCTCTGACAATGTATCTGGCTATAAATCACACCCATATAAAATTTGTGAGCCTAGGAGATATTAACACCTTACGACCACGTCAAAAAATTCAACATGAATGTAATTAGTAAAAGAGTTTCAAATCACACATCTCAGAAGTTTCTTAACCAAGATAAGGCACTTGACAGACAGCGGACATGTTCCATGCGCAAGAACCAAATCCCCATACCTGACTTGACTTAGATGTTCCCGCAATCATGTTCTTGTAGCCAGGGGCTAAATCATCTCCAAGAAGGGCCGATTTAGCATCAGTCATGATGGCTTGGTTCTTGCCATGCCCAGAACCCTGCTCATGCCAATCTGAAGCAAGTAAGAAGTCTGGGCAAGTAATATTCCACAGAGACATGGTTTGATTTTCATTTTTAGGGGACCAAACCTGGTCAACAGACTCTGATTTCACAATGTTGCCTGCACATGAATTAAGGAATTAAGGAGAAACTTTACAAAAGAATAACAATATATCTTTAGCAGAAACTGACAAACCTAATACAGGAATCATCGGGAAAACCTACCACGTGCATTTTCATAAAAACTGAAAGATGAAGTTGTTTGCCATATACCAACTCAGTCATGGAAAATATAATTTACTATCTTAAATTATTATTAATGATAACTCAGTATTTTTAATGTCCAGCATGTGCATAAAGACATCTGTGCTTTGAGAACTAAAAGAAAGTTTCATCAAGTCTTCTTTCATAGAATGATTCATCAAAATTTTGAAATTTGGCACTTAAAACAACGAACTATATAATAAAACAGGAAATCTGCAAAATAATTAATAAGTTTCAGATTGTGCCAAAGAAGTGTGTGAATAAGTGTATAAATGTGTGAATGTTTTCAATGATCATTCTTCATATCACATTGAAAGGTACTAACCCTTAAAGGTCTGAACGGATGGCTGTTCATCTAATGAATTTATGTTGGCACTAACAGCAGGGCACTCGTTCAATATTGAAGTTGCACCAAATGGAGATAGAGGGTCAGCATAGTCTTCCCATTCTGTCTCATACATGTTCAAAACAGAGCTGTCTGCTCTGTCACGAGGAGTTGCAGTAGATGAATTTGAACTCTTGTCAGAATAATGGTTCTTTGAACTGCCAAGAGTCTTCGCTTGATAAAGTAAAGCATCCAGCAGGCCACTATTTTGTGGAGAAGAACAATTTGACTCCAGAGTACTTACTGGCGTAGGAGACTGAATGAAATCATCAACTGACTCAAGCAAAGGAGGTGGGGGAGATGTGCCCCAGCTACCTAAATCAATTTCTGGATATTGGAGTGAAGGGAGCTCCAACTTCACAGCCACAGAAGTTGGCTTAGAAGTAGAGGAATTGCCATTTGAAAGTGAATGGCTGAAACAAATAGAACTGTGTGAGGAGGGACCACGATCAAGGGGTGATTGCGTTCCGAATGATTGCGCAATCTTATCAGAAGTATTATCCAGAATATGATCAAATGGATAAAAACCATCTCTGTTCATACCACTGGAATCAAAAAATGGCATTGTTGACTCTCGAAGACGTTTATGGTTAGGTGGAGTTGATGGCCAAAAATTACAATACTGAGAAGAATCAAGACCTTTCAGCATACTGCTATAAGCAGAAATATCAGGAAGCTCGGACACATAATCTAACATTTCCTGATTATCCTTCAGACTTTCAAATATTGCGTCATGTATCTCATAATTGTTTTTCTGCAAAAAATCAGGATGCACTTTACTGCCACCATTAATTCCACCAGTGCTTTGGCCAAGTTGACTATCTTGCAATGCTTGCAAACACACATCGGGAGGATAAAGTGGCAAGCCAGCCCGTTGACGCCTCTTGATCCGGGTGTTCCAGTAGTTCTTTATCTCATTATCTGTACGACCAGGCAACTACAAGCGAAAGAAATTAATCATTATATTGGATAACAAAAATAAGCACATAATATTGAAAATAAAAAATTGTGGAAGAAACTGATTACCACAATTACAAAATCTTGTGTGCAAGGGCAATGCATGATGGCCATACCTAAAATGTTTTAATTTAAAAGTACTAAGACATTTACTCATAATAAGTTGCCTGACAAATTTAAACCCCACAAAATTATAAAAATCTGCGAATTAAGGGGGGGAATCCTAGAGTTTCTTTACAATTAATTCATTCTCAAGAAAGTATGACGTTGTTCAAAATTCTATATGCATACTATGATTACCACAGATAGTGAAACTTACACACTTGGCTATTATGAACTGAATATGCTTTGTAATCAATATAATTAAATTTCCCTATTTTGTAAAGCTAATATTAATCATTTTTTGTTCTGGTCAAGGAGCAGAAGTCAACAACATCCTACAGAATGTGACATAGGCAACCTTCGAGCTCATAGACATGAACAATTACCACAATGTATTCTACTATCTACTGTGTAAAATTATGACTAAGCTAATTTGCAATTGAAGTTATCAATCACAATGCCCAATCCACAAGAAAGAATGAAGAATCATTTATAAATATGGAGAAAACTACAACTTCACTGAAAAGTATGTCCTTGGAGATGAATCATACCATAATAATGATTACTGAACTCCCTAAAAACATGTTGCAAAACTCTTTATTGTGTAAAAGTTGACATACAAATATATTGCAGCATTAAATGACCCTTATACAGAATGAGTGACGTTATGCATTAGGAATTAACAAACGACAAGTTAACTGTATTCTACCACATTGGTAAGTGTGGACCTCTACATCAGCGTATCATGCCTGTTAGGATATACCTGTCCATACCCAGATTATTTAATTAACTGTTTTCTTCATTTATCCATATATTTATTATTCCATATTTTTTGGGAGAAGTCAAAAAAAAGGGTTATTAGATGGAAGTTCATTGTTACACTATACATAACAACAGTGACATCACTAATGGATAATAGAATTCATAGATTTCACAGATAACTAAAAAATAAAAAATAAAAGAAAACATTATAACCAAATGTGCAAGGGAAAGACAAATAATACCCAACATGCTTACATGTGCTGCCATGCGTGCCCATTTGTTTCCCATTTTTGCATGAAGTTCAGCAATCAACCGCTCCTCTTCTGCAGTAAATGCCCCTTTCTTTAAATTTGGCCTTAGGTGATTAGCCCACCTCAGTCGACAACTTTTTCCGCAACGTAACAGGCCTGTCTGCTTCTGAACAGAATTCCAGTTTCCCTCCCCATGGTTCTTGACATAATCCACCAAAATATCATCTTCAGAAGATGTCCATGGCCCTTTCTTCAGAACAATTCCACAGGCACTTCCTTCATAACCCTCATCGTTCAATTGTGACCCAGTCTGATTGTTGGGGAGCCCCTCATCTTCAATCTCATTATTCATTCGTCTCATCTTATATTAAACAGTTTCTGCCCAAACATTTTAGAGCCACAAAGGAAAACCTTAAAATATATAAATAAAAAAATAAAAAAAAAGGATAAAACCAAGAAAGTTACTAAATATGCTTTCACAGCCACTAAATTTCATTTTATTCCTTTATTTTCAGATATTTCTTTTGGGCGGGAAAAGGATTTGCAAACCACATCAAGATAATACAAGCACAATAATATTAAATAATTTATACAATAAAGAAAACAAGAAACAACCTTTATGAAGATGCCTCAAAAACTACATAGAATTACCAGAGCACTTAAAATGGAAAGGGAAATAATTGGAAGCACCATAATAGCCAGGAACCTCCATCCTCTTATAAAGATGAAAGAGGGTAAGTAAGTAAAGCAGGAAGCATAAAATTTAATAGCAAAGTTTATACTTCAGCAAAATCTGACTCTGAGTAATTAATGATACTCTCCTCTGGATCAAGAAAGCACGGATTTTCCAGAGCCAAAAAAGAAAAGGCATAATATTCCATTACAGTTCAAACTAATTATGCTTACCCAATCCGGAATCGAATATATAGAGAAAGAGTTACCACATGACTACCGTAAAAGAAAAATCATAACAAAATCTCTTCCCCTAAAAAACCACGATGTTCAAGCATACTCATAACACAGAATTCATTTTTCCCACCAACCCAACAACCTAAATATGGTCACTACAATACAGTACATATTTATTACAATATTAATAATCCAAGTACAGAGCAATATTGCAGTGTCCTAATTTTCTAATACACACATATCTCAATAGACCCAAAATCCCCACCAAACCATACTAGCTGCACTCAAACAAGAAGGAAAAAGCAACGAAAACTACAAGACGATACCTGAACAAGTGCACAGGACGTCAAGCTAAAATCCAAAAACGATTCGTTTTGTGCGCAGAGAATCCGAACGAACTCGAATCGAAAGCTTAATCGAGCTTAGAAACTGAAGGAAACAGTGAAAATAGTGTTCCTGAAATATAAAAAGAAAAAGAAAATAAGAAAAACCACATATTAGTCTCAAGTTGTTATTAACGAAACTAACTCAGAAACTAGAAATTAACGAAAACGAAGCGTTTTTTTTTCACTTTTAACCCTAATTTGGAAACACTGCACTCAGAATTCGTGCAAATCTGAAGGAAGAACAGATGGAAGACGGAAAATTCAGATTCATGGGGTGAAATTCAAAATTCGAGTTTTTTCGGGGAATTGGGCTTTGGAAATGGGATTACGCACCGTAGCTTGTGGAGGAACAAAAGGAGGATCCGGAAGAAGAGAGAGCGAAACATGGAGGAAAATTCACACCAACACTCGCATCTCCAGAGAAAGAGCGAGCGAGAGAGAGAGAGAGAGAGAGAGAGAGAGGGTTTTGTGTTGAAGGGGAAAGAAACGATGGCAAGTGAAGAGAGGAAGTAGGAGAGAGAAATGTGGAAATGGAAATGGAAATGGTACTATCAACACCACCTTTCACTTCTTCAATGTTACAATCAATGCTTGTACTCTTAATTCGTTCTTCGACTCATGTTATTAATATATAGTTATACACACAATAAATGAGAGATGTCTTTTTATATGTTTTATTTTTTATTTTTTATTTTTTTTATTTTTTTTATTTTTATTTATTTTTATTTTTATTTTGAAAAAAAAAAGTAAAATTGTAAAAGTTTAGATATGATTAGATATCAATATTCCATTAGACCAAGGTACACCCTTCAATTTCTTTAAAAAAAATTATGACGAATTACATATTGTCTGTACAGCGTCAAAGTTCTCACATCAACCAACAGAATACTTGTTAATTTTTTTATTATGACTTTTGTATAATTTAGTTCAAATATATAATTTCTTATTAGTTAATATCATAATTGTAACGAAGTTTTAGCTGAAATTTATATTTTATCCTAATTTTTTAAGGGAGTCACTAATCTCATATTGCTTGAGATAGTTCTCTCATGCGTGTGAGATAGATATGTGGGGTCCATAATTCAAAACAAAAAGAAAAAGAAAAAAAAAATTGGCACAAAATTCGATGAGTGTATGACATTAGATAGTTATCTTCAACGACATGTGAAAAGTATTTTCCTTTTTTAAAATAAAGTAAACTCCATTTATCTTAATTTTTTATTAAAAATTATATTTCATTAATAAATCTCAGATTAAAAAAGTTGATACTGTATAGAAAAAGTTTTTATAAAATATTGTTTTGTTGTTTCATAATGTAGTTTTCCAACATGTTTTTGTGTGCAAAACTAATGATGCCTTGGGATTATTGATATTGTCCCTTACCTATATGTGATCCCGAATTTTAACTTTACAAGAGGTTCATTGTCCAAGTTTATTTCTATCTTGAAAAACTCTTCTGAGTTTATAAGACGAGAATTAAATAGAGAGTTCAAGAAAGAACAAAAATGAGATACATTCTAAAATTATTTTATATTATCATAAATATCCTCAATTAATTAAAGATGAAAATTAAACATTCTTTATTCAACATTTTATTTTAAGTAATTAAAAAATGCATATAATTAAGATGATAAATTATTACTTTACCTGATTACTTACATAAGAGTTTATTAAGAATATATGAGAATGAAATTTATGAATGTATGTATGTATTATTATTTTGTAGAATATATAATGGTGGATTATTATTATTTTTTAATTTCAGTTTGTAAAATTAATGCTAAAATGAGTGATAGTGTTTATAAAATAGAGGTGTTTGTAAAATTTCAGTTTAGAGGAAAAGTGATATATTTTATTTTTGAGGTGTTTTGCATATAAGTCTGAATATAATACAATTTTTTATGTCAGAACTTTTATTGAAATGAGAACGGGGCGAAAAAGCCACCATGATATGAAGTTGTGTGTTTGAGGTGACTGGATTTGGCACGAAATGAAGGGAAATTGGTGGTGTGATGTTTCAATGTTTATGGAAAGTGAGGGACAAAGATATATTAAGAAATAACAATAATAGAATAAATGATAGGTATAAGATCCGTGGTGGGGACGAAAACGAGGAATTAAAGGAAAGAGAAGAAGAGAATAATATAAATATAATAACATAAGAAGAAAATTTTCGTATGGTCAGAGATGTGGGGTCCAGTGTATGGCATGCACATGCACACGACTTTATGGGGTGTACTTGTTCAATTCGACCAATTTGGTTTGCCAGTGGCTGAGGTTGAAGTTCACACGCCTTTGAGTTGATTGAGTCCAATTGATCTTGCTATCATGAAATGGGGACCGGATGCGGAGAATATCCATTTTAAAATGAATCTAGTTTAATTCTTTTGAGGGACTAATATGAATTTTTTTTAAAATTTATGAGAGACCATGATTTTAACTAAATGAGTCTATTTTGAATTTTAAAGGAATTACGATTTTTTTTTTTTAAATGACTAAAGTGAGACCGTATTTTTTATTAAGAATCTAAAAGAAATTTTATTAAAAAAAATAGCTTGTTGATCCCTGTGTTCCGTTGATGGTAGGGGTGTCAATATAGGTTTTGACACGCTGGTCGACCCGCGACACGACACGAAAATTCGTGTTCGGGTTGACCCGTAAAAAAATTCGTGTCGTGTTCGTGTTGAGAAAAATGACACGCAAAAAATTCGTGTCGTGTTCGTGTTTATGAATTCGTATTCGTGTCGACCCGTATTTTTTTTAATTATTTTATTTATTATTTTTTATTATTATTTTTTAATTTTTTTTATTTTCAATCTATTTTTTTTAATTTTTTTTGTCATTTACCGTTTTGACTTCTATTTTGCGTGTTATTTGTGTCGTGTCGTGTCAATTCGCAAAAAATTCGTGTTGTGTCAGTGTTGAAGATTTTGACACGAATAAAAATTCGTGTCGTGTTCGTGTTGATATATTTGTGTCGTGTCAAATTCGTGTCGTGTCGAATTCGTGTCGTGTCAACCCGTTTTGACACCCCTATTGATGGTGATAATATAAAGGAAAGAGACAAACTACGTTGGTCGATTTGATATTAGTCGTAAATCAGTGTAGAATTTTTTTTCCTACTCAGGTTATGGAATACCCAACACTGCAGGAGATTTAATTTTTCCTAAAGAAGTAATTAGGATAATAAAATAAAATGAAAAGAAAAGAAAAAATAGATTGGGAAAAAGATGTTCTCTGCAAGTAACATAACTCCTTTTAACGATAGTTTATAATTTGAGTTTTAAGCAAAACATTAATTGGGAAGGTTAATAATGAATTTCAGAATTTGAACTCAAGCTGTTATTATTATTTATTTTTATTTTTATTTTTTGGTAAACATTATTATTATTATTTGAGAAAGTTCAATTAAGTACGCTAATTTGTTTTGGTGTGTAAAATTTTGCATATTGTGTGTAAATCAAGCTAGTAGGAAACCTATAAACACGTGATTAATTGAGTTTCATTAAAACAATAAAATAAATGTTTACAAAAAAAAAAACAATAAAATAAACGTATAACATATCATTAATGCTTATTTAATAGACAATATTTTCCGAGTGTTGTGGAAGGCTTGTCCAATGGCTTAGATGAGTATTAAGTGTTGGCTGGCCAGTAAGTTATTTATTAGGTTGAGATGTTAATGTTTACATTTATGATAATAATCATAGGCACAAATTATCAGCGTATCTTGGGGTCATTATGGTTAGGAGTTCAGGTTCTTCAAGGAAAAAATTCATTCGCGACATCAATGTTATAATAAATGGTTGATTTAATCTTATGTTGAAAGAAAGATTTTCTCTCATATTATGACACATATATGGTGGGACTTACTATTTAAATAAATAAAAAAATAAATGTCACGATTTTCGATGGGTGTGTAGAAGATAAAATTATTCTTATGCAACAAAAGAATAGTTTTTCTCTATAATAAATGAGAATATGAGTGACTGTATTATTACTTAGAGTAAATACCATTTTTGATCTCTGACAATATCTACAAAATCCTTTTTAGTCCTTAGCAATAAAAAAAGACCAAATTGATCCCTAAAATTATGAAAAAAGGGTCACGTTAGTCCTTATGTCAACTCCTCCGTCACTAACGTGACCCTTTTTACATACTGTTAGGGACCAATTTGGTCCTTTTTTATTGCTAGAGACTAAAAAAGATTTTGTAGATATTGCCAGGAACCAAAAAGAGTGTTTACTCTATTACTTATTAATAATGTTATATGATGTCATCTAACGTAGATTTGTCTTGTATGGTTGTTTCCACCTATGTAGCACTGATACCGATACGGGACACGTGACACGACACGATACGACACCCCGACACGTTAATTCTAAAAACAGTTAGATTTCGACACGTTAGGACACGTTGTGATATTAAATAATAATTTTTATTTATGTAGTGTATATTATATTTAATACTCAATAATTTAACAAAAAAATGAAGTTAAACTTATAATACCCATCAATTTTGCAAAGAAACATAAGATATCCCAAATATTTATATTAAACTCAATAAAATTATAATCGTAATCTAACGAATCTATTAGTTGGAATTAAAAATGCAACGCAATGCAACCTTTGAACCATTTTTTGAGTTTCTACAATGCGTGTTGGAGTGTCGGAGAGTGTCGAAGTGTCGGAGAGTGTCGGGAAGTGTCGGACACGACACGTCAAGATCTTTGAAGTGTCGGTGCTTCATAGGTTTCCACGAAAGTTAGCTTTCTTTTCCTTTGAAGCGTTCAGGGTTCGTTTGTATTGACTTGTAAAATAAGTTTTTTTTTATCACTTCTTTATTTTAAAAGTATTTTTTATAAAAATTATAGCTACTTAGATTTTTAAAAAATATTTGATTTTTGAAAAAAAGAAATATTTAGCTTTTGACTTCTGCATTTTTTAGAAGCTAAAATTTTTAACTTCTGAAAAAAGTTAATTTTTAATTTTTTTTACGATTTCTGTTTTTTTTAAAAGCAGACATCCAAATAAATTTTTTTTAAAAAGTGTTTTTTTCTCTTAAAAAAAGCAACTTAAAAAAAAAAAAGCTCGTCCAAATAGATCCTCAATATGGCTAATTTATCTTGTGTTAGTCTCCACTCTACTGTTTGTGAAAAATATATAGCCAACATAAGCCGAGTAACAATGCAGCCTAATAGCCCCGACAAACAAATTAAAAATATTGGTAAAGTTATGGTGAGTCTCATAATACTTGGGGGACAAGTAAGTGGGACCCAATCTCTATTCTGTTTGTGTCACGCAGTTATTTAGGGTTGCGTGTAACAATATTTTATTTTGTGAAAAAATAAGTGCAATTTGAAAATTTAACGATGAATAATATTAGAATTTAATGTCTTTCGTTATAGAAAATAAAATTATATTGTATATATATAAAAATATATGGAACTTATTTTTTTTTTTTTTCTTCACATGATCCTATATAAATCTCATATATTTATTTATATATATATAATACAATTATTTTTTATAACATA